TCAGTAAAGTGATAGAAGGTGTCATCAACAGTGCTATCAAGCAGCACCTGCTCAGCAATAACCTGCTCAGTGATGCCTAGTTTGGGTTCCACCAGGGCCACTCAGCTCCTCACCTCATTACAGCCTTGGTTCAAACATGGACAAAAGAGCTGAATTCCAGAGATCAGGCGAAAGTGACAGCACTTGACATCAACGCTGCATTTGACCAAGTGTGACATCAAGGAGCCCTAGCAAAACTGGAATCAATGGGTATCGGGAACAAACTCTCCAGTGGTTGGAGTCATACCTGACACATAGGAAGATGATTGTGGTTGTTGGAGATCAGTCATCTCAGCTCCGGGACATCTCCGCTGGAGTTCCTCAGTGTAGTTTCCTAGGCTCAACCATCTTCAGCTGCTTCATCGATGACCTTCGCCCCATCATAAGGCCAGAAGTAAAGGTGTTCACTGATGATTGCACAATGCTCAGCACCATTCGCAACTCCTTGAATACTGAAGCAGTCCATGTTCAAATGCAGCAAGATCTGGATAGTATCGAAAGTTGGGATGACAAGTGGCAAGTAACATTTGTGCCACACAAATGCCAGGCTATGAGCATCACCAATAAGAGACAATCTAACCACTGCCCCTTGACATTCAATGGTGTTACCATCACTGAATCCCCCACTATCAACATCCTGCGAGTTATCATTGACCAGAAACTCAACTGGACTCACCACATAAATGCAGTGGCTATAAGAGCAGTCCAGAAGCTAGGAATACTGTGGCGAGTAACTCACCTCTTGACTCCTCAAAGCCTGTCCACCATGTATGGGTGATATGGTGGCTCAGTGGTTAACACGCTGCCTCACAGCACCAGGGACCTGGGTTTGATTCCACCCTCAGGCAACTGTCTGTGTGGAGTTTGTACATTCTCCCCGTGTCTGCGTGGGTTTCCGCCAGGTCCTCCAGTTTCCTCCCACAGTCCAAAGATGTGCAGGTCAGGTGGATGGCCCATACTAAATTACCCCTGGTATTCAGGGATGTGTAGGTTAGGTGCATTAGCCATGGGAAATGCAGGGTTACAGGGATAGATAAGGCGGCTGGGAATGGGTCTGGGTGGGATGCTCTTCGGAGGTTGGTGTGGACTTATTGGACCAAATGGCCTGTTTCCACACTGTGGGGATTCTATTTTAAAAAAGTCAGGAGTGGGATGGAATACTCCCCATTTGCCTGGATGAGTGCAGCCCCAACAACACTCAGGAAGCTGGACATCATCCAGGACACAGCAGCCCGCTTGAATGGCATTACATCCACAAGCATCCACTCACTCCACCACTGATGCTCAGTAGCAGCAGCGTGTACTATATAGAAGATGCACTGCAGAAATTTATCAAAGATCCTCAGGCAGTACCTTCCAAACCCACGACCATTTCCAATCAGAAGGACAAGGGGAGTAGACATATGGGAATGCCACCACCTTCAAGTTCTCCTTCAAGCCACTCACTATTCTGACTCGGAAGTATATCACCGATCCTTCACTGTCGCTGGGTCAAATTGCTGGAATTTCCTCCATGATAGCAGTGTGTATCAACTCATAGCATGTGGACTGCAGCAGTTAAAGAATGCAGCTCACCATCACCTTCTCAAAGGCAACTAGGGATGGGCAATAAATGCTGGCCAGCCAGCGATGCCCACATCCCCCAAATAAATAAATAAACGTGATTGTAACCTATTGTGGAATGCCAATTACTGAGATTGAATGTTTTAAAATGAAAAATCTTGAGACAGTGGAATATTTCGCTATCTGCTGTCAATGCCAACTTCAAAGCTTACAGATCCTGTAATGTTTAAAAAGACCTTCTATTGGAGATCATTTTGTCTGTTTGCAAAACATTAAGTAGCATGATGCAATTTTATGTTAACACAGAAATGTAATTGCATTGCTTGCATTTGATGTTAATGAAATTGACATGTTCCAGTTCAATCAGAGTTTTCTGCTTCAAAATCAGGTTAGAGCTTTTTTTAAAGCGCAGGATGAAATATACTGAAGGAAAGAATTACTCCAGTCAAAATGAGATCAGTTTTTTAATCCCTGGTAAAATCAGGTTTATGTTAGCCCCAATCTTGGGCTTGTCTCCTGCTGGCATGGCTTTTCTCTTGTTAGCTGGACTTCCTATTTATTAGTGTTGGAGGGGAGTTTGATCTCTTGACTGGAGAATCAAAACTTTTGGCATTGAAGAAGTGTTCCAGCAGAGTATAAAAAGAAAAATTATAACAAGAGCAGAAAATTGCCTAATGTACAATTTGCTCCAATAGTTTACTGCTTAAATAATGAAGGATAGACATTGTCCCAAGGGTAGCTTTGATGCACTCTATTTCTACATCAAGTTTGTGATGGGTAAATGGCTGTTAAGGCCAATGTTGGAGCATATGGAGCCATACAAATCCCAATGTGTGTGTTGACCTGTAAAAGGTAGGCTTGTGGTGGATAGCGATGTAGAGCCTATTCGCAGATTTCTCAATTACATGTGAGGAAAGGATGTGCATTAGACTGCTTCATGTCAAAAGTGAATGAGTGTGAGATAGAGTGTAAGTTTGTAAGAAAATCCTCGCATACAACTGCAAATTCAAAATTGTGGACATGTCACTAATATCAATAATAGAGGTAGAATGTTAGCATTCGTCAAAAATTTGTTTCTCATGGAAATTAACAAAAATGTTAGCAGGGCCTAGACCTTGAACGAATCCCATGGCTACTGCATCTATTTGGGTATACATGGTAGAATTAATGATACATTTTACTTCACAAGTTAGTAAGTTCATAAGTTCAACTAAAATAGATTCAGAAATAGTGGCACATCTATCTTGCCAAGATACATAGATTCAGTGCAAATGTCAATGGAGTTCTTTAGCGCATTTGTAAATAAGCTTGAAGGTCTAATAAACACACAGACGAGATGTTGCTAGCAATATGTAGGTGGCCTTCACAAAGGGAAAGAAATCCTTCACTGGAGTGTTGGCCATACAATTCAGTGATAGGTAAATAAAACAGGATATTACTTCAATTATTCACAATTGGCAGACTACAAGTGGTGACCAGGCCACACTTTTAAAAACTCAAAACTAAAGTTGTCATTAGATGTGAAGTTGTGAATGGGCAGCGCACGTTAAGCACTTCTAAGTCTGCTGATAGCTAGATTAATAATTGATTTAAGATAATCAGTTGAGATCATAATGTGACTCATTCACACTTGCTACAAGCTACGTACATTCTTATGCAGGGACTTATTTTCAACAACAAAATAAATATGTTTAAGCATTGCCTTTTCTGAATTATCCTCAACATCTAAAACAATCGAGGCTCAAATATCAAGTTGGTATGTCAAATTATTAAAGAATTCTGACATATTAGCATCAAGTCAGAAGTCACACGAAATCAGGTTATAGTCCAACGGTGATCCTGCATTGTGGTGCATCTTGAAGGCCACCTTACAGTACACTTACAAAGATCAGAGGCCAAATATTCATGATTGCTGAAGTGTTCTCTGACTGGGAGGGAACATTCCTGCCTGGTGATTGTTGCATGGTGTCCATTCATCCATTGTCACAGCATCTGCATGTTCTTGCCCGTATACCTTGCCTGGGGCATCCTTGTCTGCACTGTATGAGATGAACAACATTGGCCGAGTCACATGAGTATCTGCCATGTACATAGTGGGTGGTGTTCCCACGTGTGATGGTAGTGTCCATGTGGATGATCTGACATGTCTTGCAGAGGTTATCATGGCAGGGTTGTCTGGTGTTGTGGTCGATGCTGTCCTAAAGGCTGGGTAGTTTGCTGCAAATGATGGTCTTTTTAAGGTTTGGAGGAACACCATCTACCATGTGCACAGCAGATACTCATACATGGCAGACAAGGATGCCCCAAGGCATGGTATATTGGCAAAACAATGCAGACGCTATGACAACAGATGAATGGACACTGTGCAACAATCGCCAGACAGGAATGTTCCCTCCCAGTTGAGGAACACTTCAGCGGTCAAGGGCATTCAGCCTCTGATCTTCGGATAAGCGTCCTCCAAGGCGGCCTTCGTGATACACAACACAGAATCACTGAGCAGAAACTGATAGCCAAGTTCTGTACCCACGAAGGTGGCCTCAATCATGATCTTGGCTTCATGTCACACTACATGTGACCCCACCACACTGTTCTGTATCTGTAAAGTCTTCCTTTCTGTCCTGTTTTGACACCATCACCTTGATAAATTGTTATGATTTCTCTACCTTAATTAGTTTGTGCAGTTTTGGATTACTTATTACTTTGGTTAGACAATGGCATGTGACGACTCTTGTACCTATCATGTTATTCCAGTCATTTGGTTTGTCTCCAGCACCACCTTATTTTTAATTTTTTGTAAATATCCCTCTCCCTCATTTAATCAGATTATAGGTTCGTCCCTTCACTTGTTATTCAGCTTTTGACACTTTACTCACGCCATCTGAACACTTTTGATCACCTGCAGAGACTTATTATTCGACATTCCACTCACACCATTTGTATGATCTTTTGATCTCTCTGCCCTTGATCTCTCTGCCTATAAATCCTGTGTCTGTGTGCTTCTGTCTCATTTCACCTGACAAAGGGGCTACTCTTCGAAAGCTTGTGATTTCAAATAAACTTGTTGGACTTTAACCTAGTGTCATGTGACTTCTGACTTTGTCCACCCCAGTCCAACACCAGCATCGCCATATCGTGACATATTCATATAGTATACAATCAAAAGTAATCAGGAATTTTATTATCAAAATAGAATGGAATTTAATATTTCATGCACTTATTTCCTTTTAACTATGATGGAATGTTTGACAAATTTTCCATTGTCAAAAGTAGTACATTACCATTTAACTATCTGATGCATAATTAATAATTGCAGATATGTAAAAATTGTGCTAACTGGAAAGGCATTTTACCAATTAAATATTATCAGTTTTAATGATCTCAATGCAATTATTTTCCAGGCTCATGACTACTACACAAAGGCAATTGATTTGCAACCAGGAGATGAATCTGCTTTGCTGAATCGAGCCATATGTCGTGTTTTGCTTCGGCGTGCTAAAGAGGCGCTGGAGGACTTTGAAGAAGCTGTTAAACTTAGTCCTTATTCAGCTCACATATATTTCAACCGTGCAAACCTCTATGCCACTCTAAAGCAATACAAAGATGCTGAAAAAGATTATTCACAGGGTAAGACAAAGTATACACATTTGTTTACAAGCATTTTCTTAAATGACAGATATTGCAAGTTGCTCTGAAACATCCCTAACAGATATTCCCAAGTTGAAAATTCAGGAGGGAGAAAAAAATCATGAGCCTTGATTAAATTGGATAATCTATCACATAAACTTTACTTTTATCGAAATATTATAAGGTAAATTTGCATGTTTCTACATGCTTTAAATAGAAGTCTTAAATTAATAATTTCTTGACTTAAAAACCATAATCTAAACTTAATCTAAACTTCATGTTCTGAAGACCAGTTGCAAATTTAATACTGCAGGGCAATAATCAACTTGTTACTTCAAAATTGACATACTGTTGTACACCGCATGTGTGCATCTGCACAGTTGTATAGGTGGACTACCAATACATTGTACCAACCATATAACTCAGAGCAGTCAGTCTGCTTGTCTGATATCCAAGGCTGGATGAGCGTTATTTCCTTTTGTATTAATCAAGAATAATGTGGTCTTTATGGAATTGATGCTGACAAATGTTGTTTAGCTCACGACATTTGTGGCAGTAATACTAATCTAAACCTTTTTCAATGTTACTGTGAATCTGTTCATTTGGCATCTGTATGCCAATATATTTGGAGACATTTATATCTATTCATGCATGTCAAGTTTGAACAGTGACCTGACAAGCTGGCATGCACAATTGTCTCAACTGCTTGTATTGCTTTATACCTATGCCACACTAGACCTCTGCATTTTTATTTTATTTGGTTTGAAAGGACAAGACTATCCTAATGGAAATCCATATAGATATTCAGAATATATTGATCTTACTTCTCCCTGATCCACTGTTAGCTAATCACCATTATAAATGGTTTCTTCACTTCCAGCACTGTTGTTCCTGCTTTCAAAACAGTTGACATTACCCTCTCTCTATTTATTTCCGCGCTCCATTCCCCCTCCTCATTTCTGAAGAAGGGTCCGAACCCGAAACGTCAACTTTCCTGCTCTTCTGATGCTGCCTGGCCTGCTGTGTTCCTCCAGCTCCACATTGTGTTATCTCTGACTCCAGCATCTGCGGTTCTTGCTACCACTTCAACTTCTGTCTTTCCAAACTACTATCCTATGCCCTACCTCCCATCTCCTGTCCTTGCAAAATTTCATGAACATGTTGCTGGTTTGTTGATTTTTTAAACATTTAAACATACTTAACTGGATGTGCACTGTGCACTTTTACATACTCCAATCAATGGGTGGCACAGTGGCTCAGTGGTTAGCACTGCTGTGTCACGGCACCAGGGACCTGGGTTCAATTCCAGTCTCAGGTGACTGTCTGTGTGGAGTTTGCACATTCTCCCCTTGTCTGCGTGGGTTTCCTCCAGGTGCTCTGGTTTCCTCCCACAGTGCAAAGATGTGCAGGTTCGGTGGATTGGCCATGCTAAATTGCCCATAGTGTCTAGTGTGGAAATGCAAGGATAGGGTAGGGGGTGGGTCTGGGTGGGAGGGTCAGTGTGGACTCGGTGGGCTGAATGGCTTGCTTCCACGCTGTAGGGATTTTTGATTCTAAGTTAGTTGAACACAATTTGCCTTGACCAAATCCAAATTGGTGGCTTTAATTAATTCACACTTGCCCAAGTGAGTGTTGAATTAATCCCAGATTATTGGGTGCATCACAAATAAGAGATTTTACCATTTTTCCCTATTGCTCCAATTAAGCTAACTGGAGTGGTTCCCTGCTTTGTACACTGACAACACAGAGCACTGCCTCATCACCTTTTGATTCTTCCACTGTTGTTAAATTATCAGACTGCTCGTATGATATGCAGTAAAAATGAGCAAAAATCTCCACTAATTAAATATTCAGAAGAATTTTACCAATAAATAAGAAGTGTAAATTTTGTTGGCTTTTTTGGAGGATTTCTCTCCATAAGGGCTAAAGAGATTTCTCACGCTATTTTCGTAAACTCACCTCATTAAATATTTCAACCACGTCCCTGTGGAGCCATATTCTCTTGCTGTAAGTAGAAATACTCACGACTTTTCTAATTCTTTGGCTTACCACTAATCTTTACCACATTGTTTTCTTTTTGATGTTATCCTTAACTTCCCTGGTTAACAATTCTATCCCTTTCTAGGATCCTTCTTCCTCACTGGAATATATCTTTTCTGTGAGCTACGAACCATTTTCTAAAAAGTCTGCCATTGTCTCTCAACAGTCTTTGGTGCTAAATTCCTTCCCTAGTCTACTTCAGCCAGCTCTGCTCTCAATTCCTTTGTAATAACTCTTACTTAAGCTTAGCACAGTTGTTTCCAACCCAAGTTCCTCCCTCTCATGAATGTTAATTCTGCCATGTTATGGTCAGTATTTCTGAGGACATCATTTATTTAGCCTGCCTTCTTACACATCACCAGATTCATTGTCTGTTCCCTGGTTGTATCTACAACATACTATTCTAGGAATCTGTACTGAATATGTCTGAGTTCTTCCTCATGGCTTCCTCTGTCAATCTGATTATCCCAATCCTAAATCTATCCAGTTTGCAATGTGCTGATGACAGGTATCCTTAATCTCCACAAAGCTTCATCTCCACAAAGGTTGGATAGTAGTCCCTTCTATCAATGCTGTTCTGGACTCTCATCAGTAACAGGTAGATTAGTGAGTAGAAGAGGTTTTTACTTCTGAAAACAAAAATTGCTGGAAATCACAACCGATCAGGCAGTATCCATGGAGAGACAGCAACCTAATTTTCCGAGTCTAGATGACTCTTCATCAGAACTGTGATCCCATCCAGTGTACATTTTGTGCCCTTGCCACACTCCGTGCTTCTTCCAATTACTGTTCAGTTTGGGCCAGCATTGATTCAACAGTTGAGCAGGGAAGGCAGGGGGCATTATGTAATAACTAGTAGTAAGTTTCCTGTCCACGTTTGTCCTGAAAAATTGAAACTTCAGGGTCCAAGTTTGATGTAGAAGACTTCCAGAGAAGCTTCCTCCCTACTGTGTACCATTGAGCCTTGTGCTTGTGGAATAGCACATACTCAAGAATGGTGACGGTGATGTCTGGGAATTATAAAGTCTGATTTGGTGAGAATAATTATGTCAGGCTGTTGCTTGAGTAGTATGTGGAATGGTCCTTCCTATTTTGTTATAAGCCCTCAGATGTGAGAAAGAGGAGTACTTTACAGGGTCAATGGGACTATAGTTGCTGGTATCATTTCTGATGCCTATGTGGATACCAGGTGGTTCATAAGGTTTCAGTTCCATTTGACTATATAGCTTTTTGGTAGAACTAAGTGGCATTTAAAAGGGCATTGTTGTATGTCTCTGTCATTTCCTTACTTTGCATTATAATTTCAACTGTCACTCAACTCTTCATGTTTACTTACTATGGAAATATTTACAATTTTATGTCTCTTGCTTTTTTTTCTTTCTTTGCAGTTTCTTGGTCCTTCTGAATTGAATCCTAAAACCCTCCCAATCTCCAGGCTAATGAGTCTTTTTGGCTTTAGAACAAGCCTCTTCCTTTGGTCAAATGCTATAATTAATTTATTTTGTTAGCCACAAAAGGACGACGGTTGTTGGACCACTTTTTCAGTTGTTTCGACATATCTTGAAAACTATCTTGTATACCTTCTGTGAACTCATCCTCCATACTTCTTCTGAAAGTTTGGTTTGCTTTGTATGTAGGAAGCTTAAGATCCCCATAATCACTGCGTTAACCTGACTACATGCACTTCTATCTTCCTGATAATGTTGACCTATACCACAACTTCTACGAGTACCATTAGCTATTTATTGATCCTTGCTTTACAACTGTGTTCCATCTGCAATCAACTCCATTTCAAATATTTTAGTCTATACCTAAATCCCTTTATGGCCTCACCCCTCCTTACATCAGAACCCTCTACTACCCCTAGAGACTCTCTTGAGCTCTCCACTCCTCTGACTGTGACCTTTACTGAATTCTCATAGAATCCCTACAGTGTGGAAAGATGCCATTTGGGCCATTGAGTCTGCACTGACCTTCTGAAGACCATCCCATCAAGACCCACCTTACCCCCATAACCTCATATTTCCCATGGCTAATCCACTTAGCCTGCACATCCCTGGATACTACAGGGCAATTTGCCATGGCCATTCCACCTAACCTGCACATCTTTGAACCGTGGAAGGAAACTGGAGCATCCAGCAGAAACCCACATAGACACAGGGAGAAGTTGCAAAGTTCACATGGTCAGTAACCCAAGGTTGGAATCGAACCTGGGTCCCTGGTGCTGTGATGCAGCAGTGCCAACCACTGAGCCACCACACTGCCCATTTCCTCCCCTTTTTACACCATCTTTATGGGCTTTTCTTTCAGTGATCTACATATTCCTTGCCACATTCCTCTCCCTCCTTCACCCCTTCTGCTTCTTTTAGGTCTGCTATATTATTGAACTGCTTGGCCAAGCTTTTGGTCATCCCTTCTCATAATTGCATTATCTTGCATAATTCTCTAATTATCTTGCTGCAAAATAACTTTGCGGTGCTTTTCTACATTAAAGATATCAGATAAATCAAGTTGTTCTTATCTTACACTACGTGTTTGTAACAAAATAACAAAAACTGAGATGTTCCTGGCTTTGTGCCTGGATTATTAAATGTCACAAAGCTGAAGATTTTCATTGGTTAATATTTTAACTTGCAATATGGCATCTGAGGAGGACACATCTGTGGTTTGAATATTTTGGGCTCAGTTATATTAAAGTTACAGAAGCACATATGGTACACAATACATGCTAGAAAACTGCAATTCTCCAGAATTCAGTAACCCCAGGATGCTAATTTTTCTATTTATTTTTCTCATTCAGTACATAATGATTGCCAGCATAATTTTCCTTAAGCTAACTGCCATGTTAAAATGGAGTCATTTAAAAGCCATGCAAATTTTTATTCTAACTTCAATTTTCTAGCTGCTAAATTGACAATCAGATGCATAACATTCAAAATTGGCTCCTGACAATGACTGAGGGATGTTGAGATCATTATTTTTGGGGACAGAAGTCACAGGACCAAAACTGCTTCCACATGAAATATATATTTTCAGAAAGTGGAGAAAGGTGTTGGCTATCTCACATCATTCAGCTACTAAGTACCTAAATATGTGAGTGGACACATGAAAGAACGTACAACTGAGAGGGACAATCATATTTACAAACAGTTGGCAAGTGTAGCAAGTGGACTGTGTGCATTTAGTCAGTTGAGAATGTCACGATGCTCTAGGGATTGCGGAGTCAAAAACTATGGGTGAGCAACTGTTGAAATGGAATTAAAGTACTCAGAAATAGGGTTGAGTAGCAATGACGGTCAGCATCCTCAGGAGCAGAGGCACAGCCCTGGAAATCAGGGGTGCGGTGGAGAAGAAGGAAAAAGAAGGCAATAAGTGTCATATTGTTAACATTGAGTGTACATCCAAAATATAGGTATTTCAGCGGAGGTTCAATCGGTAGCACTTGTCTCTGAGTCATAAGTTTCTTGTTTGAAATCCCTTCCCAGAGCTTGGGCAAAAAAAATCAAGTGGGGAATCCAGTGCAGTATTAAGAGTACAATACTGTTGGAAGTGCTGGCTGAAATGCTAAACTAAACTCCCATTTGGGTGGGTGTTAAAGATTTAAGAGGAGCGAGCAAGTTATCTCCAGTGTCTTAGCCAATATTTATTCCTTAATCAACAAAAACAGATTATTTGGTAATTATGTCAGATGTTTGTGAGAGTTTGCAGTGTGAAAATTGGCTGTAGGTTTTCTTACATTACTGCAATTACTAAATGTCAATGAGTATTCCATTGATTTTAAAGTGATTTGTCTATTGGTTGTAAAAAGTACTATACAAGTGCAAGTCTTTTTTTTAAATACCTGGCTATATAAGGGAATTAGGAGCTTGCACCTTTGGAGGCAGAGTGTAGCTGAGATTTGTGCTATTGTTTAGGAAGATTTCAGACCTTGCACTACTGCTGAACATGTCCCACCAGTAAACGTGAAAGATAATTTCTTTTTGAACTTCTTCATCTCTGGTTTATTCCAAAGATTAGCTCTATTAAACAACAGCACATCATTACATCTCTCATGTCACTGATACCCTACCTGACGGAGTTTGGCAGTTCAATTTCAGTCAGATTGTGCATCACATTGTGAAGTTATCATGGGATTCTCCTCTGGATTTCTGAAGATGCAGGGCATTATCAATTGCAGCCATGTATTGATCATTACGCTTTATGCTACGGGAAGTGCTTTTACCCTCTGATTGTTCAGCTGGACTGTGACCACAAAATATAGTTTCTGCATAAGTGAGCTCACAGCCAGGATGCCTTCATGCTCCATCAGTCCAAGGTTCTACAGCTCTTTATATCACTGTTGAAACTCTGTGGGTAGCTTTTACAGGACAGGGGATATTGTTATGTAACCTGAGAGGGAGGCACATATGATGTTACAATTAAGGCCATTTGCTCACAGTGCCCACAGCTGAGCAGACCATCGTGACCTGAAGTACTGTTTTGGTGCATGATTTAATCAGATGATGCCCTACAGTACACTCTTGAGAAATGTACCTTGTACGGGCCTAGAAGAGGTGAAACCACTAGGCACATTTCATTCACACCTTCTCTAACCAAAATATTGCTTACATATGAAACTTACAGAAAGTATAAATCAAACAGGAGATCTGAGGTGCTGGTTTCATGATGACGTGTTAATTTCAGTTTAGATTGAGTTTTTTTTTGGTTCATGAACTGAATCTACCTGCCATTTCCTTTTGAAAACAAATTAAGTCCATGAAAATCACCAGGTATTAATAATAAGAAGATGGAAATCAAAAATTGATCATGGCACGAAATCTCATAGCCTGCTTGTTTGAGTAGCAATTCTTCAATCTGATTGGTTAAAGACATGTATGGTGGCTTGCCCTGTTCCAGTGTCAGAATCCAGGTGCTGTCCTATTTTACATCACCATAAGTTCCAGTGCTCTAGTACAAAGAAAATTTGAGCGCATGTGTAGGTCTTATGAACAGGTAGCATTGTTCCTTTACCTCTAATTATAAAATCTAATCAACTGACATTCTTAATTCGGCTTTTTCGGCTTTCTTTGGCTGTTAGCTGATTGTGCTGTGTTTACACCTCTACTGTGTTTGCCAGTCTCACTGATTTTCAGAGCCTTCTAGTAAATCCCATGTTTTATATACAAGAACATATTCAAGAAAGTTCCACTGTTGCATGTAACATTGTCAATTGCTACCTTATAATATTCTTGGTCTTATATTTCTAAAGAATAATTATTGAATCTGCTCAAGTATAGTTAAATAAAAGCTTTTACTTACATTTAATAGGAACATCTAACTGGGACTTAATCTTTACACAAGGCTGCAAGACAACAAGACCATGTCATGTGAAATTACATCATTTCCTGTGATGATGTATTCCACCTTATTTGCATATAATGCTACTTGCACTGTATCAATTTCTGTTCAAAACCACAATTTTTTTTCTATTCCCACAATATATTACAAACATGGAGAGGTGAAAACAGACTTCTATTGTTAGACAGAAATCATTAGATTTATGGAAACTAATGACAAGGCGGAATGTAGTGTGAGAAAGTAGAGATGAAGTAGACAATGAGCAATGCTAGATCAGGCTCAAGGGGCTGAATGGTTTATTCCTGTTCCTGTGAAAAGCTACTAAACTGTGACAATAGTTTCAGAGTACCAGACATCTAAAGGGACCTTAACAAAAGACAAAATATATTTTAATGCAGTGCTTCCCATTTTCCCCATGTTATCCCATTTTGAGGCTAGAGCACTGTTGTGACCCCCAAGTAAGAACTGTGAGAGTGAGACTGCAGTGATACAATGGTTATACGTTTGTCAGTGCTGCATAGCAGCCTGAGAGGTCATGGTCCCACTTGACATCCACACTGTTCCTACTATTTCCAGTTTGGGAATCCTTGGTTTAATGCCTAAGATATGACTTTTCTGTGTTAAACATATGTCCTCGTTTAAAATAAACAAGAAAATTGAATTAAAAATTTTGTTCATTATGCTGTTAACGTGCTTGGCCCATATTTTTACAGCACTGCATCTAATGCCAGATGATGCTTTATATTACAAACTCCGTGCAGATGTCCGGGGCCATTTGGGTTTGATTGAAGAAGCTATCGCTGATTACAAAACAGCAATAGACATCCAAGAAGCTGGATAAAACAGATGATTACTTTTACCAGGAAAAGTAAGCAATTATCTCACAAAATTAAGATTAGGATGAAATCTCTTTGATAAAAATAGAAATGAACAGAACTTCAAAATGTGAGTTCTTGCAAATAGTACGTGTCTCACTACTGGTAACATTTCATGACAAATGAATTTAAGCATCATTCATCATAGCAGATTCTCTAATGCTATTACAACAGCGTTAATTAATATCTTGGTTATAATGTATATCTCTGGAATATTTGCTCAAAATTGTTTAGGTATAACATGTTATTATATTTTCTGTCACTCTGAAACATATTGGAAGGATTTTATTAAAATGTTTTTTGGATTGAAATTCTTTTTGCTGACGTAACGTAGAAGATATGACTATGTAAAAAAGACATAACTGATGTTTCAGTATTAATGGAAAAATGGACTGTAAGTTCTATTCTTCATTAGTTTTTATATTTTTCAACATACTTGATGCTGCTTTTTCACAGTTGAAAAGCAGATCACTTCATGTACTACATTTGTTGAAGAATAAATATTTTGATTTAAAAAGTCAATCATTTTGTTGCGACCTCTGTTTCATCAATATGCACTAGATATAATTTTAACTCTTATTCTGGTCATGCCACATCCCATTTAGTGATTTCATGTAATGTCAATGTAAGTTCCATTGTAGAACCAACTATTGATAACCTTTTCTTTCCTAAAGAAGGGTCCCGACCCGAAACGTCAGCTTTTCTGTTCCTCTGATGCTGCCTGGCCTGCTGTGTTCCTCCAGCTCCACACTTTGTTATCTCTGTTCTTCCTATCTTATTGATAACCTCGATTAGTTCATTTTCAGTTTGGTTCGGAAATTTGCTTTTATGCCTGGTGGACAAATTGTTGTATTGCCTAGGGGTGGGAGGAGGAGGAAAGAGGCAGTGTCATACTGTTAGGATAAAGATATGGTCACTTAGAACTCAGATGAAGAGAAATATCTTCACTCAATATGTTGAGAGACTTTTGAATTATTCACTGGGACAACTATGGAGGTTCAGTTGCTGAGTACATGCAAGAACTCTGTGGGTAGCTTTTACAGGACAGGGGATATTTTTAGATGTGAGAATCAAGGGATGTGGTGACGTTACAGGAATATACAGTTGAGATAGAAGATCAGACATGATCTTAATAAATATCATGGGTGTGAATGCCTATTCCTACGCATATTTCATGTGATCTTATGTTTTTATTAACCATGGGATGAAAAGTTGGCCTCACTTGACCTCCAGTAGGATGCCAAAGAAATGATCAAAAGCTTATTTTAAGTGTTCTGGCATAAACGTCACTTACAAGATGACCGCCAAATGCAGAAAGACCGTTATGAAAACCCTACCATTCTTATCTTGATGAGAGTTCCCAAACCCCACAAACATCTCCAGTACAGCAAAATACCAACTATTAGTAAATTAAAAGTAAATAAATTCTTCTGTTTTTCTCATGCAAACATGACATTTGGACTGGAGATGGTGGAATTTAGACAGAACCTATCAGGTCAAAATGCCTGTGCTGCCTGTCAGATGTAGGATTGGAATGCATTTTCCTTTACAGCTTTAGTCTCCTGTAATTTCATAGTTAGACTTCCTAATCAAATTAGTTTCTTTGATAAGAATTGAAAGGTCAATATCTAAATTATCAAATGCTTGAACAAAACAAACCTTGTGGAAAATATTAAAGTAAGCAAATTCAAACATAACATAGCAAGACAATAATCTTTTAGGACCACAAATTGAACATGTTCTCTGTAAAACAATTTGTCTAGATATACAACATGCTAAGTTTTAAAGTAAAAGACAAAATCTCCAGCAATTCAAGTTTGTCAATAGACAATCTTATTTGATTAATTGTAGTGAATTAATGAAGAATTCACTGAGACGTTTAAATGTAAAACTGCATTCATTCTACATGTTGCAATTGTATGTGTCCGCAATGACTGCATGAGGAAATTTCAATTGATGTGTCAGAAATAACCAAAAAGGTAACCAGTAAAAAGGACAGAAATGTATTTAATTGTAGTTATATCAGGTCTTTGCATCTTTGATACTTGACAACTGGATTAAGTTAAACACAAATTGGATGAATGGGAGTGCATTTTGCCCATCAACCACTGGTACATTGCAGTAGTGAAAATCTGCCAGAGTCCTTAAACCGATCTTTGTTTCCTTAATTAAACATTTATTATGCTTGAGCAGGATTATTCACACTGTGCCCGGTAGAATAGGTAAAATAGTTGTGATCTGATTTGTGTAACATTATGAAGATGATGAGGAGCTGGGTTTTCACAATTAATTAGCAACTCAACAGTCGAGATAGGAGAGATTAAAGTGCTAATGCTGTTTCATGGCATTTTCATTGGATACTAGTACAGGACTGCAATAATGAGTCCCCATCAAACTGCTGCATTTCTGGACAGAACGTACAGCAGGATATTGTCCAAATTTACTGCTCTTGATTGATGGGTTATTTCCTTACAATGTATCAAAGTTATATGTCCCAAGTAATTCATTTTAGAAAAGAAGTAAATAATTTATTTTTTCCAATTGCAAATACAAGTATGGTCTGAGATTGGCAATAAGCTGCTGTGCGCCTATTGGAATTCAATGTGAAGACAAGAAATACCCTTTTTGAAACAAATATTCATGAAAAAAAAATGATTCTGTATTGAGACACTGATTATGTATTAATTGCAGGTTTCTGTCGTATGATTCATAACCAAGTGCTGTGAATTATGAGTCACTGATGTAATACTTAAATACTAAAGATTTGCATATCAATAACATCAATTTTATGTTAACTCTGCCATTTCTTTACTGATGTCATATCTTTTAGAACATTATGGATTTAGCAGAAAATTACTGTATTAACTGGGGAAGAGTATTTTGCTGCATTATTCCTGGTATTACAAAAGAATAAGTAAGAAAAAGGCACATCTCAGAATAGTCAGATTTTATTAATTATGACATTTATTCTAGAAAATAATGTCAGATGATAATGGAATTTTGGAATGCTCAAGTGTGGACTTGTATGGATGAATTATATGACTTTCAGGATGGAAGATAATAAACCTTCAGATACACCTTCAGCTTTCTTGTTGAACCAGTTTTTATGTTACAGTACTCAGGTGCTACAGAACAGTGTGCTTGTACGCCTTTAATCCTGTCCTCGTTTCTGAATGCTAAGCCATGGACTTCTATTGGATTGGTTGAATTTATGGACAAAATATAACAGTGGCTTGCCATTGCCTTCTGCAGTATGGCTAACCAGGAAACTCTCCCACTTTTACCACCTGCAGTCAGGAAAATTGGAAGAATTTGGAGTCTGACAATCAACCTGTTTGGCCACATTAAAAATGCATCTTGCACAACCAACAAATATTGACGAGCAAATCAAACCCAGAGCTTCCAGCTCAGAGGAGGGGCATGCTAACACTCTGACAGAAGACCTCTCACAACAGAAGAGTAAGAAATGCATATTACTGTTGTTTTGAAGGATTGATTGTGACATACTGAAATAAAGCATGATTTTTATTAACACAACAAAAGTTGCTGGAAAAGCCCAGCAGGTCTGGCAGCACCTGTGAAGGAAAAAACAGAGTTAATGTTTCGGGTCCGGTGACCCTTCCTCAGAACTGGGTTTCCAGCAACTTTGGTTTTGTTCCTGATTTACAGCATCCGCAGTTCTTTTATTTTTTGATAAGATTTTTATTAAATTTGATTTTCCTTATCATACAACTAAACATAATGAAGCTTTTAAAAAATTGACATACGTTTGTTCTCACATAATGGAAATGTTCACTCTGATTAGACGATCCAAGGAAGTAGTGAAATGTAATCACTGATCAATATAATTTAAACCTGCCAGACACAGTGGGTCAGGACTTTATTTGTTTTTGTTGAACCAGATGTTAAATGATTTTTAAATTACTACTAATTACCTATTTGAAATTGATATGACAATTTGATTTTCTTGGTAATAGCCTAAAGTCTCGTCAATTTGACTCACTTCAAATTTTGGCCCATATTAAGATTCAAGCTCTCTCCCAACATGTATGAGGTGTAAAGGCATAAACATTCCCTCTGGTCTAAAATTAGCTCTGTCATGTGTCATGTAAATGGGTTAATATGTCACAGGCTTAAAAATCACCCTTTGCCTGGCTATACTGCACTAGATATTTTGTAGGATTACAGCTATACTCTGTGTGATCCACATCATAATACAGAAAATACTAATTTATGAGGTAACTGAATGCAGTCTAAAACTTTATATGTATGTGTACAAGAAAAAATATTGGATAACAAATAAACAATGGTATATTTGACAGGTTTCATTCCTGGAACATAAATACACAGTGACACAGTGAAGGAAAGAGACAGGTAAAGCAGCTGCTATGAAAAATGGAAAGAAATACTGAATGAGATAGTAGGAACTGCCGATGCTGGAGAATCTGAGATAACAAGGTGTACAGCTGGATGAACACAGCAGGCCAAGCAGCATCAGAGGAGCAGGAAAGCTGACGTTTCGGGATTGAACCCACCCTCACTATAAATTGGGCATTATAATGAGTCTACAGCACAGGAACAGGCCATTTAGCCCAACTCGTGTTTGCAAGCCCCTCCCCATCCTCCAAAAACAACACTATCAGTCTACCCTTTTATTTCTCTCCCATCCATGAGTTTATCTAACTTTCCCTGAAATGTTTCAATACTATCACTGTCCTTCTCACTGCCCTCAGAGTAAACACGTTGCTCTGGTATTCACCACCAAATTTACAAATATTTAAATTTGGAGCAACAGCAGGCCACTCAGCCCTACCAGCCTGCTTGCCCTTTCAATAAGATCATGGCTGATCTGGTTACTTCACATCCCCCTCCACCTCGATGACCTTTTAGTGTTGGTTTTCGATAATCTTTTCAACTCTACCATAAAAGTATTCAAAGCCCCTGCTTCTCCCACCTTTTGAGGAAGAGAGTTCCAAAATCTACCAAATCTGTACGAGATCAAACTTCTCCTCATCTTGGTCTTCAATGGATGACCATCTTATCTTTAAGCAGTGACCCCCAGATTCTCTCTTAATCAGATTAACCAAGATTTAACTGAATGACAGATTAGCCTTATGCATCATCATATACAATGGAGCAAAACATCCCTCCCTTTGTCTCATAAAACCACTGGAAACCAAATAAAAGACAGATTCAGCGAATAA